CATTGGTCCCGGTTCGGCGCACCAACCAGGACGAATGCCCCCTTTAGTCCCGGTTGGTGCCACCAACCGGGACCAAAGGCCTCATTTCAGCAGTCGGAAGGGCGGGAAGCGGTGGCCTTTGGTCCTAGTTGGTGGCACCAACCGGGACTAAAGGGGGCATTGGTCCCGGTTGGTGCGACGAATCGGGACTAATGCACCCCTTTAGTCCCGGTTGGTGCCACCAACCGGGACCAATGGGCTTTGCACAACAGCGTGGTGGTGGGAGTTTAGTCCCACCTCGCTAGCTGAGAGAGAACCGCACCTGTTTATAAGGTGCAATGCGCCAACCCTCTCGAGCTCCTCTCTAAAGCAGGCTTTCGGGCCTAATCTGTCTCTATGTGCCTGTGGGCCTACTGGGCTTACTACGGGCGTGAATCCTGGCCCATTGTTGGGTTTCTAGTCGTATTCAGGCCGTGGAGGCCCAGTAGGAGGCACTTTTTTTTATTTTCTTTACTTATTGTTGCTATTTTTATTTTATTTTTCAGTTTTTTGTTTTGTTTTCTGCACTATTTATTTTCTTTTGTTTTTTGCTTTATTTTTAATTCTTTTTGCTTTTAGTTTTAGAAAAATTATAAACTTTCTATCAGTGCCATTAGTTTTCAAATTTAAAAACACTTTTTTTGTTTTTTTGTTTTAGAGAAGTTTCATGAAACACTTTTTTTGTTTTTTTGTTTTAGAAAAGTTTCATATTTGAAAACACTTTTTTTGTGTTTTTCTTACAAACTTTAATAGGAAAAAGAATTATCATAAAAGAAAATAAATAAGTAATTAGAATTTAGTTAAAAACATTAAAAGCAAAAAGAATTATCATAAAAGAAAATAAATAAGTAATTAGAATTTTGTTACAAACTTTAATAGCAAAAAGAATTATCATAAAAGAAAATAAATAAGTAATTAGAATTTTGTTACAAACTTTAATAGCAAAAGGAATTATCGTAAAAGAAAATGTATAAGTACTTATTGTTGCTATTTATATTTTTTTCCAGTTTTTTTATTTTGTTTTCTGCATTATTTAGCCGTTGGTCCCGGTTCGAGCCACCAACCGGGACCAATGGTGGTGGGCCAGGAGCGAGGCCCATTTGTCCCGGTTCGTCCCACCAACCGGGACCAAAAGGTCTAGATGAACCGGGACCAATGGCCCACGTGGCCCGGCCGGCCCCCGGGGCTCACAAACCGGGTCCAATGCCCCCATGGGTCCCGGTTCTTGACTGAAACGGGACTAATGGGCTGACCCGGCTTGGACCTTTGCCCCCTTTTCTACTAGTGATCTAGACGTATTTTAGTTTTAGATACATCCGCTTTTATGCATTTCTTCGACAAGTATTTCCAGACGGAGGGAGTATTATCTTATCTGGTTCCTTCTCAAGCTACACCTTCTTGCTCCTCACATTGTGTCAGCTTGGTGGCTTGGCCTGCCTCCTTCGATAATAGAGCTAGAGCCACACCAAAACAGGAAGCTATTGTCACTGTGTAATAGGCATACAACAAGTGATCTTCCTGTACAAGGTTCTAAATCTCACCTTCTATCGAGTATATGGAAATTGTCTTTGTGATTTGCTTCATCTGTTAAAGGTTGACTTTAATATGTCTGTTTGTGATCGAAACTCCATTGTGCCAATCAAAAAAAGATATTAAACACAAATAAAATGACATGATTATTGTCTACTCACTAAATTCCTTCCACAAAAGTTAGATGTGCTGTTGGTGCCTTCACTGAATACTTAGTTGGTTAATTTCCTTCGACTCCCTTTGTTTCAGAACATTTCTCTATTGAGGAAACACGATTTTAGTTATTTTCTTTTCAATGAAAACAGTCTGGGAGATCTCTAGTTATGACAGTATTTTCTTTTCCCTTGGCCTGTCTCTGTGACTCAACCTTTTATTGTAATGATAGAAAAGGTTAGATGTCTGGTTATTTAGTATTAATTTTTCTAGTTTTTGTGCTCAATTAGCTTTTGCTTTGGACAAAACTAGTGGAACATAGGGAGTGTCCCTCCATCCGGAATTACTTGTTGCATAAATGGATAAAAGTGGATGTATCTAGAACTAAAATACATCTAGATACATCCATTTCTCCGACAAGTATTTCCGGACGGTGGGAGTAGTACATAGCACCAAGTCAGACTGAATGATCCACTGCGCTCCAGTGCGTTGAAATATATACCCTGTTTTATTTGGACTACTATGTTGATGGTTCGAATCGGCCAGGGCTAATGGTCTCACTCATGCTTTTCGTCGCACGAGCTGCTTAACCGACCTGATGAATTTTTTAACCAGACTGATTACCTGGTTAAACTTGTTTTGCATTACCCGATTTAAGGGGGGCTTGTATCTGTAGTTGGCTGATTAAATTGAGCTACATGGTAAGTTTTGAAATATTTTGCATCCTTGACAACTATTTACGAAGAGTCTACAATACCATGTAAAACCCCATGTATTTTTATGGAATGCACGACATGTCTTTTGTAAAATAAGTTAAATAACAGCAAAGTATTATAACTCATCATGAGTTCAGAACTTCATATAGAGGGAAAATGCTATAATTTGAATGGATGACTTGACCAAGTCTGCATCCTATATATATTTATTTTGAGTCTCCAATAGCCCACACCCAGTTTACCACCTAATTCTAGTGATACGACTGCCCATCAATGTCTTGTGTACAGGCGCAAGTTAAAAGTTCTATCCTGTATGTAAGTGACGGTTGCCAGTGTGATTCATTATTGTAGGCAACCAAGCTTGATCCTGAAGATGTAACCTTGCATTCGAATAGAAGCGTTTGCTGGATTAACTTGGGTGAAGGAGACAAGGCATTGGAGGCAGCTGAAATGTGCAGGATCATACGTCCTAATTGGACAAAGGCCTGTTACAGGCAAGGGGCTGCCCAAATATTTTTGAAGGTGATATAAAACTCCACAGTTTACAGCTACTCCTTCTGTGGCCAATCCCTTTTTATGCTCTAATGAGACTACAATCCATGTCTTCAGAACTATGAAAAGGCATGTGATGCATTTCAAGATGGTCTGAAGTTGGACCCAACAAATGTTGAGATTGAGAATGCATTATGGTAACATACTTGTCCCCATCTCCGTGTCTATCTATGTCGGAAATCTTAGTGTAACGCTGCGTTTGGATGTTTGTATTGGAGGCCTCCGTATTGAATTGGTTTCAATTCCATTTCACTGAGGAAACTGTAATGGAGATGAATACAAATTCGCTTGTTTGGATGCTTGATGAATTGGCTGAGGGAATCTCATTGAAGTTTCAATACCAAATCATGTTTGGATGGCAAAGTACAGAATTGGATAGTGCTTTGTTCTATATGCATCAAATAAAAACTTGTACAACGTGTGACTATAGTTGAATGATTATATAGCAATAAAAATTAACAAATATTCTAGAAATTCATGACAACATCATATAATATTCACATAACAACAACAATTGTTATCTTACGTCTACGAAGTACAAACTGTAACACGTGGTGCATCCTCCAAGCTACACGCTGTAGTGAAATGACAGTTCTCCCAATTCATCTGGACTTGTACACTCAAAATCGCGAAATCCTCGAACAGCTCAGCTGCAATAAATAACACATTGGATTCAGACTTTCAGAGTCCTGCCTGGTGATGCTCGGGTTCTAGTCTCGTGCTTCAATGAAATTGACACGCAAATATCAAAGCTTGCAGGAGTAGGGAAAAGGGGCGGCCATGCGGATACGGCCGGAGATGCACCGGCCAGAGAGATCCGACGGCGGCCGTGCAGGTCAGGGAAGGAGCGGCTGCAGGAGGATGGATGGATCTGATGGAGAGGAGGGACGTTGCAGGAGTAGGGAAAAGGGGCGGCGGCAGAGGGGCTTGAAGGGAGCCGCCGCCGGAGAGAGAAGGAGAAGGAGGGTCGGGGAATCGGGATGGATACCGGCGGCGGCGGCGGCGGCGCCGCTTCCTGAAGCTGGTCTCGCGCGAGGGAAGGACGCAGATCTCGGGCCGTCTGTCTCCAATCGTTTTCTTTTGTGGGACTTCCAATTCGACCCAAATCGGAGCCGAGGAGCTCTGTATCGCGGGAGGCCTGCGCGCGTGAGGGCGATTTCGCTTCTGTATTGGGCTCGTTTCAGTCCGGACGTTTCGGTGTGCATCCAAACACCTGAATTGGTAGCTAGCAAATACCAAATCCATTTCAGAAGGTCCATTACAGACATCCAAACACAGCGTAAGCGTAAACCTCACTCAGAATTCCATTACTCATGTCTTGATAAATCATATAGAGCATCATACTGAAATGTGCATACGGTGAATATGTTGTGCATGCCATTCAGTTCAATACACTAGTTTGATACTCCCTCAGTTCCTCCGATCACAATTATGTCATTTTGTTGGAATCAACCACGCTGTTGTGTCCTGTCCGGTAGGGACTAGGAGCAGTCACCGACTAGGTATTGTAATAGGCTAGGTTAGCTAATTTAAATACCTGGGTACCCCTACGTTGTAATATCAGATCAAAATCAATACAAAGCAGAGGCACGTCAGGAGCCTTTTGGCCAACTCTCGCGTCCTTGTCTTGTTCGTCTACGTGGGTTCCTGAAGTATTCTGTACGCGGCCGTTCCAGCGAGCCGCCGCTAGCTTAAAGCTAATTAGCTAGCTTGGCGTACGGGAGTGTCTGCAGGAATCGATCCAGTAACTTTGGTTCAGCTTCGTACGTGCGCGTACCGTCGGAAAGAACTCGTCGGCTGATCGCGGCAAGTCGAGGCTTCGCCAACAATTGGTATCTAGAGCAAGGTTGATTTTCTAGTAACGGAGGATCATGATGGACGACGAGAAGAACAAGCAGTTGGCGGAGTACTCCGGTGCGGCTAAAGTATTTGCTGCTTCGGCGAGTTGATCGTACCCACGATTTGATCGCGAGAACTTCGGGGTCTGGAAGGCCCTCATGGAGTGTGGTCTCCGCGCCAACGAGCTATGGGACGCGGTCGACCTAGGAGGCGACGCGTTCAAGAAGGAGGGAGCCGAGCATCGGAAGGATCGGCAGGCAGCGTCAGCGGTTTACTCGGTGATGCCGATGGATGTCCTCCAACACCTGATCGCCAAAGAAACGGCGAAGGAAGCATGGGATACCTTGAAGCTCATGTTCGAGGGACACACCCGCGTCAAGCAAGCCAATCTCCAAACTCTCCTAAGGAACTATGAGACTTTGGTCATGGGCGACAATGAGTCCGTGGATGCGTTCGCTTCACGGGTGGCTACTCTCGTCAATGGGATCCGCGCGCTTGGTGAAAACCTCACGGAGACCTCGGTTGTCCGGCGGTTCTTGCGCGCAGCCCCTCCCTGATACCTGCAAATTGTCACGGCGATCGAGCAGTGCATCGATCTCGAGACTCTCTCCATCGACGATCTCGTCGGACGCTACAAGGCTCACGACGAGCGTATGCGGTACAGCCTCAGGGATGGGAGGAACGATGAGAATGTCATGCTCACACGGGCTCAGTGGCTGGCACTGGACTCAAGGAGAGGAGGCGAGGGCTCTAGCAGCAACACTCGCCAAGATCGTGCGCCAAAAGAACAAAGTAAGAAGAACGCCGGCGACGGTGCTCCGAAGAAGAAGAAGTTCGACAAACGCAAGATCAAGTGTCACAACTGTGGCATCATGGGGCACTTCAAGTCGGAGTGCAAGAAACCACCGAAGGAGAAAGCTCTCATGGCCAAAGGAGGCGATGATGGAGACATGATGCTCATGGTCGAAGTATGCGAGCTAACGGACGAAGATAGTCCAGCTCCAAAGGCACCGGCTACAGAAGTTGTCACGCTCATAGAGGAGGCAGTTTATCTTCACGATAAAAAGAGGATGAACACATCAAGGCACGTGTGGTACCTCGACATGGGCGCTAGCAACCACATGACCGGCGACAAGGACCAGTTTTCTGAGCTCAGTGTTTCGGTGGGAGGCATGGTTCGGTTCGGTGACAGACGGACCGTTGACATCACAGGGCGAGGTACTGTCATGTTTGAGTTAAAGAATGGCGGTCACAAAGTACTCACAGATGTGTACTATATTCCCAAGCTAAAGAGTAGCATCATAAGTCTTGGCCAGCTCGAGGAGTGTGGTTGCAAGATTGTACTCGAAGATGGCTTTCTATGGGGGTATGATCGTCAGAGGATGTTGATTATGAAGGTGCAGAGGTCACCGAACAGGCTCTACATCCTCAACTTGGATCGTGTGGATCCGGTATGTCTCTTGTCAAGCATGGATGACTCGGCATGGAAGTGGCACGCACGCTACGGTCATCTAAATTTCCAGGCTCTTCGGCAACTTGGACAAAAGGAGATGGTACGTGGTCTACCGTGCATCAATCTTGTTGACCAAGTGTGCGACGGTTGTCTCATTGGGAAACAAAGGCGAGCCCATTCCCAAGAGAGGGAAACTTTAGAGCGAGTAAAGCTCTTGAGTTGGTCCAGGAGACTTGTGCGGACCGATTACACCGGCCACCCCTGCTTCTTGCTTGTTGTCGACGACTTCAGCAGATTCATGTGGATCGTGTTGTTGAAGACAAAGGACCAAGCTTTGCAAGCCTTCAGGATAATAAAGATGGTGGCTGAAGTAGAATCTGAAGCCAAGCTGAAGGCCCTACGTACCGATCAGGGGGGTGGGTGAGTTCAAGTCTTGTGCATTCACGGAATTTTGCGAAGCTCAAGGGATCAAGAGGTATCTTAGGACACCATATTCACCGCAGCAAAACGGTGTTGTGGAACGGAGGAACCAAACCGTCATGGCGATGGCACGAAGCATGTTGAAGAGTAAAGGCATGCCGGACAAGTTTTGGGGTGAGGCGGTCAATATAGCCGTTTATTTGCTGAACCGGGCTCCAACCAAGAGTGTGGTTGGGATAACGCCGTACGAAGCATGGTACGGACACAAGCCTACGATTGATCATCTTCGTACTTTCGGGTGCGTAGCGCATGTGAAGACAGTGACCGGGCGTACTAGCAAATTGACGGATCGGAGTACTCCAATGGTGTTGGTTGGCTATGAAAAGGGTACGAAGGCATTACCGTGCGTGCAACCCTTCGACTAATAAGGTGGTTGTGACGCGTGATGTGATCTTTGAAGAAGCAAGGTCATGGAATTGGAACTCTACCGAGCCGGTATACCCGACGTCCGATGAAATTTTCAATATCGTTTACGACGAATCCGAGCATGCAGGAAATTTTGATCAACCAGCAAACCCTTCGGGACAGAGCGATGCTCCGAACGGAGGCGGCACAGGAGACGCGCCAGCTACTCCCGCTGCGTCACACGCTCACGCGCGAGAAGTAACGGATGGTGCGCCCGATGACACGCCAGGCAGTGCGGGCTGCTGTGCGCTCGATCTGGTGACTCAGGTACGCGTGGAGGCGCTGGGCGAAGCACAGCAGGAGGCTCTCCCCCTCAAAACCCAGGTGGCTCGTCTACTAGGCTGGGAAGCCCACGTAGTGTGGAGGTTGGCCCCAAAAGCCACCCACGTGATGGTGAAGAAACACCAGTTGTGGCTGGTTCGCCCACTGTACGTGCAGGAAAAGCACGGCCAGCTACGTCTAGTTCGTCCAGTGGACACGCGGCCAGCTCGGAAGAGCCTCAATCGCCAGAAATCGGAAGTGAGGCAGCTTCAGAGGATAGTTCTTCGTCTTCGAATGAACAGGAGACGGGGAACGTCCGCCGACACCAGTACGTCTTCGACCAGTGGTGGATTTATATCCAAAGGAAGCACTTCCAAAAGCAAATCCTATGAAAATTAACGGAAGAGGACGGCGGTGTCTGCTTAGCGTCGAGGAACCGAAGAAATTTGAAGATGCAAACACGGAGGAGTGTTAGCGTCGTGCTATGGACGAGGAGTTGGGATCGATCCAAGACAACAAAACATGGGAGCTCGTGGATCCACCCAACGACCATAAAATCATAGGGCTCAAGTGGGTGTACAAAGTCAAGAAAGATGCCGAAGAAAACTTGGTGAAGCATAAGGCAAGGCTCGTAGCCAAAGGATACGTGCAAGAGTAAGTTGTAGACTTCGAGGAAGTGTTCGCTCCCGTCACAAGGATGGAATCGGTGAGGCTAGTTATAGCTCTCGCGGCTCAAGAATCTTGGAGGCTACATCACATGAATGTAAAATCCGCTTTTTTGAACAGGGAGTTGAAAGAAGAAGTATATGTGAAGCAACCACCGGGTTACATCAAAAGGGGAGAGGAACACAAGGTGTTGAAACAACACAAGGCATTGTACGGGCTATGCCAAGCTTCTCGGGCATGGAACATCAAGCTTGATCGTACACTAGTTTCTCTTGGTTTTGAGAAGAGTCCACTGGAGCATGCTATGTACAAGCGAGATAAAGGCAAGGATCGTCTCCTAGTGGGCATCTATGTTGATGATCTCTTGATAACTGGAGCAGATGAGGAGGAGATTGCTAGATTCAAGCTACAAATGAAGGAGCTTTTCAAGATGAGTGATCTAGGGCTCTTGACTTACTATCTCGGGATCGAGGTACATCAAAAGCCGGAGGGAATCACACTCTGCCAGGAGGCATACGCAAAGAAGATTCTTGAAAGCTGTAGCATGGAGGACTGCAATCCAAGTCATGTTCCAATGGAGCCTCGACTTAAACTTAGCAAGAAGAGGCAAACACCCGCGGTTGATGCAACGGAGTATATAAGTGTGGTCGGAAACCTAAGGTATCTTGTGAATACACGACCAGACTTGGCCTATTCCGTTGGCGTAGTGAGTCGCTTCATGGAAGCACCCACGACGGAACATTGGGCAACTGTGAAACAAATACTCAGGTACATCAAAGGGACAACTAACTTCGGTTGTGTCTATTTGAGAGAGAAGCAGAAGGAGATGGTGGAGCTACTTGGCTACAGTGATAGGGACTTGGCAGGAGATATTGACGACCGTAAAAGTACCTCGGGCATGGCATATTTCTTGGGAAGAAGCATAGTGAGTTGGCTGTCACAAAAGCAGAAGGTGGTCGCATTATCATCCTGTGAAGCGGAGTATATTGCAGCTGCAACCGCGGCGGGTCAAGGTGTGTGGCTAGAAAGGTTACTCAGTGACCTCACTGACAAGGAACCGAAAGGAGTGGTGCTCTACGTTGACAACAAGTCCACGATTGCTCTATGTAAGAACCCAGTGCATCATGATAGAAGTAAGCACATTGATATAAGGTATCACTACATATGAGATTGCGTGGAAGAAGGCAAGGTTGAAGTCAACTACATTTGCACCGACGACTAGCTTGCAGATATCCTGACCAAGTCTTTGGGACGACAGAAATTCACGGAGATGCGGTGAAGGATCGGCGTCCAAGCTGTGAAGTGAGGACATCGTGGTGTGGGGGGGAGGGGGGTTTGTTGGAATCAACCACGCTGTTGTGTCCTGTCCGGTACGGACTAGGAGCAGTCACCGATACCGACTAGGTATTGTAATAGGCTAGGTTAGCTAATATAAATACCTGGGTACCCCTACCTTGTAATATCAGGTCAAAATCAATACAAAGCAAAGGCACGTCACGAGCCTTTTGGCCAACTCTCGCGTCCTTGTCTTGTTCGTCTACGTGGGTTCCTGAAGTATTCTGTACGCGGCCGTTCCAGCGAGCCGCCGCTAGCTTAAAGCTAATTAGCTAGCTTGGCGTACGGGAGTGTCTGCAGGAATCGATCCAGTAACTTTGGTTCAGCTTCTTACGTGCGCGTACCGTCGGAAAGAACTCGCCGGCTGATCGCGGCAAGTCGAGGCTACGCCAACACATTTCAGGGTTGTCCATAGTTAAACGTTCATAACTCTGTCCATGTAAGGATAGGCACAGGCTATCTGAGCTAGGGATTCCATCTCAGCAGAGGCAAGGAGGACGCCCCCGAGTCGCTCCCTCGGGCGACTCCGGGCAGCTACCCTAGCGCCGCCACCCCAGCTCCTCGCATCGGCCTCTCCTCCCTCGCCGTCACCGGCCAAAAGGCCGCGTGGCGCAGGCGGCGGCGGCGGGGCGTGTCTTCCCACACGCAGGTGGCCGGCGTCGTGGGGCGCCCCTCCTGCCCGTCAGCGTCGGGCGGTGGCTCTCTCTGCTCCACCCCCTCCCCTCCCCGGCGTCGTGGCGGCCCACAGGAGTGCCCTCCTCTCCTCCCTCCCCCCTCCAGCGGAGGCTTGTGGGGATCCGAGGAGGCGGGTTGCTCTGGCGGCGGATCTGGGTGGCTCTGCCGAGATTTTGTTGGTGGCGGCGGGGACGGCTGGTGGCCCTGCTAAGGTGGTGGTGGTGCTGCTGGTGGCTGTGCTTCTCCGACGGGGTGGTGGGGCTTCCGGTGGTGTTGGCCAGGGCGTGGATGTGCATGCTCTGTGGTGGTGGCTGGTGCTTCGGCGTGTGGCATCGGTGGTGCGTGCTCGGCTGCTCCGACGCTTGGAGCTCGCCGGGCGACGCAGGTGGGCAGCGGCCGAGCGTGCGCGTTGCTCTGGCCGTGGGCGGCAGCGCGGGGAGGTCTGGCGTTGGTGGTGGCCTCCCGGTGTCGTGGCGGCTTCATGGTGGCTCAACGGCTCTGACTGCGGCGACGGCCGGCTTCTCCGGCGTCGGCTCGTCCGCGTTCGGACCATCTTGACCTTCGCCCCATCTCCTCGTCGTCCGGGCACTACTTCCATCGAAGGGCTGGCCCTCTCCCAGCCGCGATCCATCGCTCGTCTTGCGTCTGGTGCGGCAGGACGAGCTTGTCTCGCGCACAGTGCAGCTGGACCGAGGTCGTCTCGCGCACGGTGCAGCAGGACTGACCTCGTCCCCCTCACGGTGCTGCAGGATTGAGTTCGTCTCGCGCTCTGGGCTGCAGGACGGGTTGATGGATGCCAGTTATGGCCGGTCTGTAGGGTCTCGATGATGGGGGTCGCCTAGGGGTGCGAAAGGTGGGACCTTCCCGCTCGTCTCTTTGGTTGGGGTAGCGGTGGGGCTCGGGTGAGGTGGTGTCAAGGTCTTGGATACCGGGGCGGCGGCCCTGGTGGTGGTAGCGCGGTGCTCTTGGGCAAAGCCCGTGGCTTGGTGCCGCCAGCTCGCCATGGCCGTGTGGGCGGCGTGGTAGCCCGGGTGTGGCGTTCGGTGGCGGTGAGTGTTGGCCGAGGTGAAAACCTGTTCTATCTTCGGACGGAGCGGCGGCGGCGAAGATCGTTCCATTCTTGAAGGCGTCGTCGCGGCTCTCATTGCCCATCATGCAGCTCCAGGGGAAACTCTGATCCTTGGATCGGGCGGTGGCGGCGCGCCGGTGTCGTACCCTTCCTGAAGGCGCCGCCTTGGAGCTCAAGGATCGTCGTATGTAGCTTCATCTCTTCGTGGTGGTAGTTCTAGGGATGGTGTTGCTGCGCTCAGCGCCTTTGTATCCTGCCTTGGGTGTGTGCATGTGTAGCGGTGATGCGTGTTTGTACTGGGTGCTTGTTGATCAGTGATTTATATATAAAGCGGAGCGAAAGCTTTTTTCGGTAACTCTGTCTATTGATAACCCAAGGTCAATACTGCTAAATTTATCATGAAAGGTAATTACATATTATCTCCGCCCCCAATTATTTGTCTTAGATTTGTCTACATACGGGTGTATCTAAAAAATATGTCTAGATACATCCGTATCAAGACCAATCTAAGACAAGTAATTTGGGACGGAGGGAGTAATATATACTCCATCCACCCTATAATATAAGAGCGTTTTTGGAGGGAGTAACTTTCTATCCAAATCAATATATATATCTTCAGAGAAATTGATGGGTCAAAATTTCACCTTGTAGACCACGCTGATGTCCTGAGCGACTTATATTCTTGATCAGATGGAGCATACGACTTTTTGTCTCAAGATTGAATCCCAAATTGTGTCGTCATGCATTTGCTACCTCAACACATCTGTATAACGTATGTAATGTCATAATTTGATTATGCAGGGAAGCATTCAACTCGCTCAAGATATCTCGTGCCAAGGCAGTCTCATGAACCGTCATCCTTTGATCAGAAGAGACCTACCCAAGGCCAGGTTGTTTCTGTGCTTGCTTCCCCTTCAGTGTTTAAATACGTTGAGTTGAGAACTCTGCGTAGTACTGTACACACGATCTTATCTAGCTTCTTTGTATATAGTATGCTGGGTCATTAGTACTGTACAATATCTTATCTTTTAACTGGTTCTCGATATTCAATGCTGATCGTAAGTTTGAATCCTGATGCGCGTCGACAATTTGACTCTGCATTTGTGCCAAAATGCGGGAAATCCAGTATAAATTGATAGCATGAAGTTGGTCGGTTTCAGCCACAAATTGAAGGTGTCTTGAAAGCCTCTACATTTCATGTTTTCTGTTCGGGTTTATTGCATTTTCTTTTCCTCGTAGCTAGTATGTTGGTTACCTTACCTTGTTTTGCAAAAATAGCTTTCTGGAGGAGATGATGATGTGGATTAGGTCATCGATTGCTTCCCAAGTCTCGACACCGTGAATCACCCCTGCTAAACCATGACAGCTTCAACGGTGTGATGGTGTCACCCTGGGCATTTGGGTACCCGAACCGAACAGAATTAACTGAATTGTTGGCGACATGGTGTGAAAATTATCTTGCCCGCGTGATCCCTCCAAACCATGCCAGCTCCTTCATTTTGATCAATCTCTTTTCTGGGGAAAAATATCAGATCGTGTGGTGCCGTCTGCCCTGGACTTTGACCGATCATTGTTTTCTTTTGAGATCCAACCTAGCGGCAGGGGCAATCATGTTTTGGAGGCAGCAGCAGTGCCATACGATATAACTCCCTTTCCTTTCGTAGCACGCGAGTGTTGTGCAACATTCAAAAGGTGAGTTAGGGAAGGTCCATAAAAAGCTTCTTGAAACCTCAACCAATAGAGCAGCCTAGCCATGGGTGATCTCATTGCATACATGCAAAATGGACTAGAGCATCATGAATAGTACAATAAGACATTGGTTAGATCAAGATGAACTTTTATTTCTACCAGGACAAACTTCATTACACATGCTCATACAACCATCAAATTTTACAAGTTTGTCTTACTGGATGCACGGATCAGATCAAGTTCATTGTCGGGCGTTTTGTGGGTTTCAGATATGGAGGATGGTGGCCCAAATCAGTGATGCCGTCTACTGATTAGCAGACGCCTTGCTGCATCGTCTAGCGCACCTCTCTGCCGTGTATGCAACAAATTCCACGCGAACAGTCTCATATTGTTGCAACAGGGCACCACTGTCCCATCCTTGAATGTCTTGGTTCTTGGGTTGTACATCCGCAATACCTCTTCGTAGACGCTGCACCCCTGTCGGAGCACCCGCATCCACATCACAATCCTCCCATCATCCAGCACTGCTAATGGCTTCTCGAAGTACTCATAGGTATAGCACATCAGTGGCTGGTGGGTCTGGTGGCATGGCATGGTGATGGTGTAGCGTTTGAACCAGAGAGACCGGTCCGAGTCCATGAGGAACCATAGCTCAATGGAGGAGGTGAGGCGATCGGCGTGGCATGTAACCAGATGGCCATCCAACTCGGCCAACCTGGTGCATTGACAGTTTGCAGGGCCTTGGAGGGAATTCGCTGTCGACCGCCACACCTCGTTGTTAAAGTCGAACGCCATGATCTGGTGGTGCGTGTACAACTCCTTGTACTTAGCATAGTAGGACAGAAAGTAGGCAACCCCATTGATGACAGTGACGCCTCCGTCCAACGTTAACGGGGGATTCGTTGTATCCCTCCAGCCACCGTCACTGAGGCCAAGGGTGAGGATCTTGCACACCTGCGAATCTTGGTGCCAAGTGGTGGCGATGGCGAGCACCTTGTGCTCTCCCGTAGAGCTCACGCGCCCGACCGTGCACCAGGTGAATGTGTAGCCGAGCGGCAGTGCATGGTCGGGCAAGAAGGAGACGATGCCGTTGGTGAGGTCGAGCAGGCGGAGCCGATAATTGGCAGCGACACAGACCTTGCCGTCTTGAATCATGCCGCGTGCCTTGCTGTATGGAATTTGTTTGGCAGCGACGTTTACCCGTGAGACGGCGTGGCCAGACTCCATGTCGAGGACGATGACATCATTGCTTGAAGTGTAATCCTGTATACCAATAGCGAGGAACATGCTAGAGTTGTAGGCAGCGGAGATGAAGTCCGGGTGGCAGAGCAGGGACAACCACGACGTGCAGACAGCGCGGAAACGGCAGAGCGCTTCGGCGTAGAGAAGGTCCAAGGGCAGGACGCCATCGTTGCTGGTGGCGACCACCGGAGGAGGAGGAGGAGGAGAAGCGCCGGATCGCCGCTGGACTGGTGGATGAAGCGTCATCGCCGTAGCCCGCAGATAGGATGCACGAGTTGCGGACTCTATCCTGGAGGCTGGAACATACCGTATTACCAACAACCAATTAGAGTTGTACCCTAGTAAAAATAATAATTAGAGTTGTACCTTAGCTTTCGTGTTGGATCGGTCAACACATTGTCGGGTCCTTTTCCTTCTCATCACAGCTGCAGCGAAGCAACGACCCGCGTCGCCGTGGGGAAGCAGCGCCTCATGCTTCGCAGCAGGAGTCCCACCTCCCTCGCTGGCAGCGCATTGATGTTCCACCGATAGGCGCCAACAATGCTACACTTACACTGCAACACCAACCCTAGCGCGGCGGTGATCCATAGGCAATGATCCACCCGGCGCCGGCAATCGTGCTCCATTGCAGCACAAGCACCGGCAAGCGCACTGCACTGCATCGCCGAGCGGTGCATCGCAGCCCCGGGGCACCGGCGAACGCTGCGTCATAGCAGCGGCAGCCCACGGTGAAGCTCCATTGGAGCATTGCCCGCTCCAATGCAGCACCAGCAGCTGCCGGTGAAGCTTCATTGCAGCACTATGTGCTGCATCGCAGCTCCGAGCTGCCGACGAATGCTCCACTGTAGCAGCACCGTGCGACCCTCCGCTCGTTGCAGTACCGCTGCACGACCCCTATTGCAGCGTCAGTGATCCCCCTGCTCCAGCGTCCACGGCGGCTTGCAGCGGGTGTCGCCTCCTAGCTAGCCACTATAGCGCACGGCTTCTGCTTCGATTTTGGCCGGAGGAAGATATGGGGCAAGGGACATTGGAAGAGCATCGACCGGAGGGGAGAGCGGGTCAGAGGTGCGGGAAGAGCTGGGGGTTCTTCTGAACGCAACCTGCCCGGCGGGAGGATTATACACTTTCCGCATCATTCTTCACGAGAAAGATCTTCTACGGGCTGGCTTGGTATGGCGCATCGGTGATGGCTCGAAGGTTAATAGTGATCATGACCAATGAATCCCACGGAGTGGAATCTTGGTACGTCTGGGTGCCGAGTACGTTCCAGGGATGACGAAAGTTTGTCATCTTTTAGATCAGTCAGGGACAAGATGGAACGAGCAGAAGGTGGGTGCAAATGTTCTATGAGGATGATGCGAGGGGTATAAAAGAAATTACTATTGGGGGACCCGGTGTTGATGATTATCTGGCATGGAACTATACCAAGAACTGGTACTTGAGGCATACTGTTAGGCAATTAATCCCGTAGGATCTACTTAACAGATCGTACTTGATACTATACCAAGAACTGGTACTTGATCGGCATACTGCTAGTTGCAGCTTGGTGCCACCTTTTCACCCCTCCCCCTCCTCTCCCCCACTTTGCCCTCTCTCCCCCTCCTTTCTCCTCTCCACTCTCCACCATTGTTGCTCTTCTTCTCTCTTCCTCCTACCTCTCTTCTCTCATCATTAATGTCCCCCTCCACCATAACTCTCCTCCATAAATGGCCTCTCTCACATCTCTCTTTCTCCCACCTCTCTTCCTCTCCCCATAAATGCCCCACTCCACCATAACTCCCTCTCCATTAGTTAGCTAGGTAGATTCACCTCTCCTCCCCAACAACTAGATCTAGCTAGCTATTTATCCATCCACGCATGCTCTGTCGATCGGTCTCTCTCATCATCTAATTTACTGTGTGCTCTCTCGATCGGTCTCTCTCGGGAGATATATAGGTGAATAAAAAAAGTTGTTCATTTCAAGAATGGGAATATGTGTGTTAATGAGAATATGTGTGTTTGGGATATATATATATGGAGAGATTTGTGCGAGTGTGACATGCCCTCGAGTTGCTTATGTTTTGCCGAAATGTCAATTTATTTCTGTTTCGGTGAATTTCCAGCAAACTCAATATGTCCTATTTTTAGGCAAGGTCATGCCAAAGTTTTATATGACTTTGAAACATGCATGCATTATTTATTTTACAACCCTTTTGCTTGTTATACCGTGCAGTCGATCATGAAGTTGAGTGGATGGAAGGTGGAGCGGTACATGCAATCCGCGGTGTGGACATGTATGCAAATAATCGGACTAGGATAAGATGTCCATGTGCAAGATGCAAGGAAGGAGTCCTTTTGGACCCTTTTGATCGTGTCACTTTGAAGGCGCACCTGCTGATGAATGGTTTTATGGATGGCTATACTCAGTGGATAAGTGAAGAAGATGATGATGAGGACGTCCACATGGCATAGAATAACGACATTATGGGGCTAGACGAAGAGATGACCAATCGACACGAAGACGATGGCGCCGGACATGGCGGTGGGGAAGAGTCCGGAAATGACGGCGGCGGAGAAGATTCCGAACACGATGAAGAAGAGTCCGGACATGGAGGAGAAGAGGCGGCGGTCATGCCGCAGTCTTCGACGCTACTAAGTGCAGTCGTGCAGGACCCTCATGTTCAAGACCTCTTTCGCAAGAGTACGACTAGCGAGAGAGTTGCTTCTAGAGAGGAGGCCAAGCTGGCGCAACTTGAAGTAGACTCGAGGACTCCATTGTATGACGGTTGCGATCCCGAGGTGACCCGCTTGAGTTTCACGCTTGAACTTCTAAAGACGAAGGCCAAAAACAAATGGACAGACAAAAGCCTCGATGAGCATTTGAAGTATCTACATAATAAAGTTCTTCCCGCGGTGAACCTGTGTCCTACTAGTGTCGAG